AATGGAAAGTAATTTTTCTGAATGAAACATCTCAAATATTCGTGTATATAATTTTTTAACTAAACATAAAAAATAAAGCAGGAAAAATTTCGGTTATTCTTATATATTGTGTGTTGATAGTGCCTAATGTAATTTATAATCTATATATATTATATAAAAATGAATTGCTGTTCGTTAGTCTCGCTAAAACTCGAGAACGGCTGGACTGATTTGGCTAATTTTGGTCTTGAATTATGTGTAGAAATCCAGAGAAGGTTTAAAAGGTGGATAAATATGAAAATGCTCGGTATTCACTAGCGGCCTTCACTATTAGTCAATTTAACAATTCACTTAATTTAAACAAACTAATACACGAATGCTCTATTAATAATTTATATTTTCGATTACGTCAGAGTTCAAGCGGAAATAAACATAAAATTCGGCATTCGTGAATATTAAAAGCACTAAATTGACGAATTATTAAAAGATACTCAATACTGAAATTAATTCAGCGTCTCTTAGGATCTTTCGGAGCGTATGTACAATTGTTCTGGCCGGGCATAATGCCCAAATCAGTGCAGGGGAATGTCCCCGCGTCGAACCCGCGTGGCTCAGCTGCCAAAAACGTGACGCCTTAGTGACGTAGTCGCTCCAAAAACGTTCGCCAACTGCATGAGCATTTTATTCGTCAGTGATCTGAATAACATCACGAATTCACGTGAACGGAAGTTTTGAAAGAAAAAAAGTGTGTGTGTGTGTGTGTGTGCAAGTCACATACGGTAGAAGTGAAAATTATAAATAAGATATAGATGTAGATATATACTGACTATCCCAGTACACAGGAACATACCTATGGACAATGTTTAGTAGACGATAGTGGGGATGCTACGAAGAGTCGCATAAAGAGGAGACCGCAAACGTTTAATGTGTTCTATCTCATTCTCTCGCCGGCTGAATCTTATACATTTATGTGTTTGTGTCTCTATGGACTTATTTTTTCGTTTCATCGAGTTTGAAATCACAACGATTCTAAAGAAGTTTCACTTCAAAAAGAAAGCAATAATGGAACATGAAACTCTCATTCATAATACAAATCGATATTATTTGTTTTTTTGTGTCCCTGGTATATAATATTCAATTTTACCCTTTAAAATCTTTATACTTGTACAGATTTCGTGACTGGCTCTAACGTAAACCCTATTTGTCTCAACACTTTTGGCAGGGTGTGTTGTGAGCCTGTACGGTTAAGTACCACCATCCTGCCTATTCCTGCAGTGAAACAGTAAGCGTTACGGTTTAAAGGGTGGGGTAGTTGTACTATACAACTGAAACTTAGAACTCATGTTCCAAGTTTTTTGTCGGATTTTATAATGTAGTCTTGGCGAAATTTGTGATTATAGAAGTATAAAATACAATCATAATAGTGTACAAACTTACAATTCCAATTAATTATAGTCGAATTTCGACTACTGCGGGACCTCTAGTAACAATAAAAATCCGAAATTAAACATCAAAAATAGTTTTAATTATGTTTACTACTCGCTAAAATCGAAGAGATTACTATATAAACTTAATTCTCCTAATTCTTTTTTGTACTGCTCTGCGTTGTCCTACGCTCTTACAGACAAAGGACATGTACGGGCTAGCTAGAGATAGTACATGAAAAGATATGAAGAAAAAAATGAATTTCAACAAGGAAAAATCTACGTGCCTAAGAGGCAGGACTAACTACAGGATCTTAGCTGTGTCCTTTTGATTCAGAGCCAAATATGACAAATGCTGATTAATTTATGTAATCTCTATATATAAAAATGAATTGATGTTCGATAATTCGTGACTCCCCCGCTGCATCAATTTCTCCCGTACGATTTCCCTCCATCTGCTGCGATCCTTAGCTTCATGAAGGGCATTGTGGAAATTGATGCTCAGAGAAGATCGTATTTGGTCCGACCATCTCGTGGGACTGCGTCCTCCGGGACGTTTGCCATCTACCTTTCCTGTCACCATCAGCTGTTCTAGATTTTGACCCTCTTTACGAGCAATATGTCCGAAGAATTCTAGCACCCTACGAAGGCATACAAAAGGCAGGCAAAATTAAATAATTTCTATTAGATACATGTATTTTGTCAAGAACATGCAGCAACAATGTGCATGCAGCGTCTATTTGCAGCTATGATTACAATCGTTCTGGAATTTACTTTGCAAAACCCCATCTGTTCTTTGGTTTCTGTTTAATAGCAACACTGTCTTATAAATACTTTGATAGCGCTTTCGTGTAGATAGAAAATGCGTTTAGAGCAAATCAGAATGGAGATCCGTTTCGATGTTTTTAGTACGTCTTAAGTGTTTTGTTTACAAAACGATTTGCCGGTTTCACAAATTCAATAAGTGCTCATTCGGGCGGATGTTTTTTAGAAATTACTCGATGAGAATATCATATAAGTATTCTTTTAACATTTAATGCGAATCACATTTTGAATTTAAGTGCTGTGTTCACAGACATATTTAATTTAGGTACATTACGAAGAACGTTTTTATGACGTCAACGATATTGTTGGTATTGTTTCATGCAATAATGATATCTAGTGCTGATTGTAAGCTTGAGATCTTTCTTTGTATTCCTCTAAATTCTTTCAACAAAACAATGTAATACCACAGAACAAGACAAGCTTCGATGTTAGTATGCGCCGGTGATCCTAGGGAATAGTTATAGACAATTCAAATAATAATTAGCACACTTAGCAGGATGTTTTAAGTTATAAGTAACAATTTATAGCATGAATTTCATAGTAACACAAGTTTTAGACGTGAAATTCACGTTAGCAAATCCCACGCCTCCTGGCTGAGCCTTTGCTCGCCCACCTGTCCTGGTGAAACTGTAAAGGCCTCCGGGCCACCAGTAATCCCTCATTCATAAAAAAAAGACGAGAAATTAACGAAATGTCATCTCGTCTAGGTCGTTTGAAATAAATCCACTAATCTACGAACCACTAATCGATAAAAATTAAAATGCGTGTCATACGCCGAGTGGGTAAAAGTCATCACAATTAATTACGTTGTCATTCTTCATTTAATTTTAAAGTATTATATTTACAAGTCGAAAGCGTTAATGCCGGAGAGCTGACGATTACTTTCTGTTATTTCACAAACAATAATTTAATTATCAAGAAAACGTCCTTGGCATTAATCGCAATGACAATATCTGTTCTGTGTTTTTCTGTGCTATATATAAGTATATATATATTTTTGGAAGCTCTTGCATTGGGACTTTTTTTTTATTGCTATTGTAGGCAGACGAGCATACGGCTCACCTGATGGTGAGTGGTTACCGTCGCCCATGGACTTCAGCAATGCCAGGGGCAGAGCCAAGCCGCTGCCTACCGCTTAATACTCTCCACAAGCCTCGTTTTAAGAAGGACATGTCATAGCGCTCGGGAAACACCGTGGAGGGGAGCTCATTCCATAGCCGGATGGTACGTGGTAAAAGTCCTCTGGAAACGCATTGTGGATGACCGCAGTGGCTCTAGGTAGTATGGATGAACTCTATTCCGGTGGCGGGCGGTGCGATGGTAAAAACGAGATGCCGGTATCATCTCGAACAATTCCTCAGAGCACTTCTTATTATTATATCCGTCGGATCAGTGAGTGCGTTCTATGTAGTGGTTTATACTAAGAATACTAATAAAATTTCCTAAGCGACGTATTCAGACGCATATGTAGTGCGCTTTGGAAAATTAGGAATGAGCTAGTGCAAAATATGAAAAAAAAAAGTTTTGTTGAATTATTTTACGGCAATCTTTAATACCGATAAAGAAAACGAATTAGAGCTTTAAAAACAACGATTTATGTCATCGGTTTTTGTGCCGAATCACAAAAAAAAACTTTAAAATTACAAACGAACGAATAACAAACAGGCATCGGTCAAATACGAGACCAATCAATTGTTTTATTTTAAGACGTCCGACATCAGCTCACAGCCGAACATTATTGCAGAGATACTATAGTACATATATACACACCAAAATAAACACGTTTTACGGCTGGCATTGGCGTGGTTTTGACATTGTGTAAGGTTTAGAAACGGCCGTATGAACTGTAAGCATAATATGTATAACGAACTTTTCATTTAAACATGTTTGTTTATTGCATCATCACTATCATCATCATCGGGCCACAGTCGACTGCGCCTCTCCAAATTTGCACAATTGAGCACAGTCTATGGCTCTTTTCATCCATTTCTTTCCGCCAGGAGACATTTGAAGTCGTCGTGGCCTAAGGGATAAGACGTCCGGTGCATTCGTGTTGAGTGATGCACCGGTTTCGAATCCCAAGCAGGTACCGATTTTTCTAATGAAATACGTATTCAACAAATGTTCACGATTGACTTCCACGGTGAAGGAATAACATAGTGTAATAAAAATCAAACCGGCAAAACTATAATTTGCGTAATTACTGGTGGTAGGACCTCTGCGGAGTCCGCGCGGGTAAGTACCACCACCCTACCTACTTTTGCCGTGAAGCAGTTATGCGTCACGGCTTAAAGGGCGGAACAGTTTTTATATAATGCAGTTGAGATTTCGACATCACGTTTCAAGGTGATTGATAGCATGCACGATGCCATGCCTATGGGCTCTGAATTAGATAACCATCTATACATATAAATAAAATTGGATTGTCTGTTTGTAATATGACGAGACTTTCACTGATATGTAGCTGATAATATAAGGAGTAACGTAGGCAACTTTTTAGACTAGCTTCGCCCCGCGGCGTCACCCGCGGTATGACAATAACAGCGGGTGACATCGCGGGACTCAGCTATCAGTAATAAAATTTAATGTTTCCGAAGCGAAGCGAGGGCGGGTCGCTAGTCTAATCTAAAAATAGTAATTTAATTACTTCCTAAAATAATCTGGGTATGAAAAACTAGTAACTGAAATAAATTCTTTAGTAGCTTTTGCAAACTTTATTCTTTAAAGCGTTTTTCGTTTCGGTTTATTTAAAGATAATTTTGTTTGTTTCAGGTGTGAATTCTGCAAAAATAAAAACCCTACGGAGAATGCTACCTTTATGATACAAAAGTGAAGTTTTGATATGATCTTTATTAAAATTATTTATACACGTGTATAGTGTGTGTGTCGTGAAATGTGCTTATGCTGAACGTGTTAAAGTGAATTCGTAATTTGATTCGAGATGTCTTCACGGACGGGTCCCAGGGGCACCTCGGTGGCTACTAGCCAGAGGAAGCATCGGTCCAAGTCTTCGACCAGGTATGATATGGAGAAGAAACCGAAGAAGAAGGACATGCGAACATCGGGAACAACAAGTTTGGTCTCAATACCCAACAGCATCAAACTTACGATGTTGAATAGCGGCCTCATATCTTTTGGTGAGTTATCAATATATTTATGAGCTGTATGTTGTTAGTATATAGTGAGTTATATATTTATTCATCCTTTTTTAAATCAAATTTGAATTATTCTGAAGCGTAGCGCAACAATCGTCTTAAATAAGTCATCGTGGCCTAAAGGATAAGACGTCCGGTGTATTCGTGTTGAAGCGATGCACCGGTGTTCGAATCCCGCAGACGGGTACCAATTTTTCTAATGAAATACGTACTTAACAAATGTTCACGATTGACTTCCACGGTGAAGGAATAACATCGTGTAATAAAAATCAAACCCGCAAAGTTATAGTTTGCGTAATTACTAGTGGTAGGACATCTTGTAAGTCCGCGCGGATAGGTACCACTACTTTGCCTATTTCTGCCGTGAAGCAGTAATGCGTTTCGGTTTGAAGGGCGGGGCAGCCGTTGTAACTAACTATACTGAGACCTTAGAACTTATATCTCAAGGTGGGTTGTGGCGCATTTACGTTGTAGATGTCTATGGGCTCCAGTAGCCACTTAACACCAACTGGGCTGTGAGCTCGTCCATCCATCTAAGCAATAAAAAAAAAATAAAAAAAAGCATATATCGATAATCTCAATGGAGCGTGAACCCAGTTTCCCTTATAAACATACTGTAGACGCGAGATGTGCAAACTACGAAAAATATTTGAAATTTGGTCGTTGCAAATGAAGGACACAGACTGCGGGAAGAAACGATAAGAAGCGGCAGTTCTGCGTTAAAGGAAGGATGCACAATACCATTATGTAGTCCTTACTGCAAACTCGTACCACTTCGCGATGAGAAACACCAACGATTTCACTTATTTACGTATTTAACATAACAAAGACACGAAGCGCGCGCGCGGTTGTTCAGCCATATTTTTTCGTCTCGATGTCACCACACGATCTCGCTCGCACGCGTCCGTAGGTAAAGTGCCGGAGAGGGATGGGACAGGATTTGCAAAACCAAATTAAAATGTTGCTAATTTTCGAAACNAAATAAGCAGTAAATGATTACTAAAATATATAATAAAATAGTATATATTATTAGTAACAATAAAAATGTAAGATGTGCAAAAAGAACAAGAAAACATGTAATAGATATAAGTAGGTTAATGAAATAGTAAGAGAAATAAGGATATGGCAACAATGGACATAGATTAATAATAAAATATATATAAGACAGGTGGGGTTTATTAGAATAAGATGAAATATTGTTAGTAGTCAGTAACGAAATATTAATAAAGATAAAATAAATGATAGTAGGCCAAAGTAGGATCTCCCAAAGAAGGAGTAGAATGGATAGGGTGTAAGTTAAAATTTAAATACGAATCGGATGTAAAAAGACTCTGACCTATGTTAGGGGAAACAGTAACGCCGTGTGATGACGGGAGTCTTATTAAAAAAAAAAAAAAAAAAAAAAAAAAAAAAAAAAAAAAAAAAAAAAAAAAAAAAAAAAAAAAACCCCAGGTGGGCTGTGAGCTCGTCCACCCATCTAGCAATAAAAAAAAATAAAAAAAATAGACGTCCGTCATATAATAGCACTTGCACACATTTAATCCTATTCGCTGAGTTGGAATACTCCTTCATTTAACTAAGCTTAAGTTAGTCACTTAATTGAACTAACATAGCTATAGTTTATTGAATATAAATCTTCGAATAACTAATTATGCGTGATGATGAGATACGTACTAACATTTTCATTCATACATGAATTATTTATTAGAAGCGTTATATTTGAAATTATCATAGTCACGAACATACCTCACATATGTTTAAATAGTAAAATTTAATTATAAGGATAAATTGGGGTCCGTTTGGTCCCACAAATCGGGCATACATAAGGGACCCTAGCGGGAAAATTTCAAGGTTTCATTCAAACCTCTTGAACTTAGTGAACGTTTTAAAATTAATCGCATAGAAATAGATATTAGTTGAACTAGTAAAAACATGGGAAATTTAATCCCTAAGGAAGGTCGAAGCAGCCTAGAGCGATTTAGAAGTATTCACTATATAGTTTAAAACAAAGTCGCTTTCTCTGTCCCTATATCCCTGTGTATGCTTAAATCTTTAAAACTACGCAACGGATTTTGATGCGGTTTTTTTAATAGATAGAGTGATTGAAGAGGAAGGTTTATATGTATAATGACATCCATTAAATAGTGAAGAAATCAATAATAAATTACAGTTTCCGAAGCGAAGCGAGGGCGGGTCGCTAGTATTCTATTTGATGAAGTCAGTAAAATAGCTTTTTAGACGTTTAAGATCTACAACGTTTTCCACGAACGATGGCGATCTCACATGATCAAGTAGGTCATATGATCGGCTATGATCAGACAAAGGCTAAATAAAAGCGATCGAAATAAATCCACATTTTTTATTAGCAAACTTAATTCCCATAAAAAGATCATCAGATAAACTGTAAGCTTGTTACCGCCCTTTAAGGTTGAAAGGTCAATTATCCTTTATGGTTATATGTATTGTTGTTCTATATATTGGGTCTCGAGTCCGCAACGCTTGGCCGAGGTCACGTTATTGAGTTATACGTAATTCCACCGCGACCCGGTCAGGATGGGCACTTTGGTTAGATGTCGGTAGCGTATCAGCGTATCTAAGTCTGCAGCCAAAACACTTTTGCTTATATTACACATGAATAATGTAGAATTTTGGTTACGTTCTTATATAAGTTTTTGTGTGTGTTTTTTTATGTTTTTTTTTTTTGCTTAGATGGGTGGACGACCTCACAGCCCTCCTAGGGTTAAGTGGTCACTGGAGCCCATAGACATCTACAGCGTAAATGCGCCACCCACCTTGAAATATAAGTTCTAAGTATAGTTACAACTGCTGCCCCACCCTTCAAACCGAAGCGCATCACTGATTCATGGCAGAAATAGGCAGGGTGGTGGTACCTACCCGTACGGACTCACAAGGGCTCCTAGCACCAGTTATGTTTGGGATTCAATCGGTTATGTTTCTATCTGAACTTCAGATTTAGTGAAATGTGTAAATAGAAATTTTACAATCGGCAAAGTACATGTGAATAATCAGTATACGAATGATCGATTGCCAAAATTATTATTAAGATTTCACATCGATTTTTAAATTATCTGAACCAAACAACAATTTGTATTTCTCATAGATAGTCATGATTTTTACAAGCGCTAACGGAAGATACTGAATAATAAAAATCATGTTACAGAAATTATACAGACACAGTTGTTGCAAGTCTTTTCAAAATCTGCGAATCTGGCAACCTTTTTTTTTGTGCCGGGGGCCGAACCTTCTGCGAGGTCTCCACGCCTAGAGGGCGCGCGGAGTATGTGGGACTGGTTCGCGACTGTGAACCGCGGGCCCAATGATATTTTAGGGCCCTACCGCACTAAACTTTTACACCCGACGTCTGGTCTCCGCCCGGGATCAGAACCCAGTCAGAGTAAGGGCGCTTCCGCAGTCAACACTACAACCAGACTCGCATCGCCACCTAGGACATAGGACGCTCGACCGACGGGTCGTCGAGGCGATAGCCAACAAACAACGACACCAGTCTCCGCGGTATGGCGGCCCTACCATGCCGCCCGAGCGATGTCGCTGGTGTTCCGGGATACCCCGCTGGGTCAGCACCAGGCTGCCGTGTCGGAACGGGATACAACGCCGACCGCATCACGGACTGCTACCGACAACGCGCCGTCCCATCCTCCTGGTGCCAGCGCGCTAGAGTGGCGAATCTGAAAACCTGAGGAAACATTACTCGGCGCATTAGTCAGAGGCTCTAATGACTCAGCCACTGAGTTAGGATATGCGTCCCGCGTTCCCTCCAGTCCGCTTCAGCCGATGAAGTTACTTGCAAAGCAAAATATATCGAACGTGATTCGCCTTTCGTGTATTTATCACAGTAACACCCAGGTCCATCGGCTGTTTTTAGAAACGTTTCAAATAGTTATCGTAACAAAATCTCGGATACGTAATCAGCCCGTCCATTGCTCGACCAATATATCTAAAGGATATCATTTTTACACGTCATTTTCACAAAGGCCCCTAACCCAGTTATCGGGCGCCGTCGATTCCCTGGTAGTCCGGATCAGAAAATGTTACAAACGACGTAGTTTATTACGAGTGAGAAACGGCATCATTGACTAAATCGTTCGATCGAGATTCAGATATATCGGGTTATTTGTAAATAGCGCATGTTTTTTTTTGTACCCAACTATTTTCTGCCTGTGGTACTGTGGTACGGTACTCTTCTGAAGATTGGCTGTCATTGTAGCCAAATACTAGTTGTAGGACCTCTTGTGAGTCCGCGTGGGCGGGTACCACCACTCTGCCTATTTCTGCCGTGAAACAGTAATGCGTTTCGGTTTGAAGGGTGGGGCAGCCGTTGTAACTATACTTGAGACCTTAGAAGTTATTCTCGAGGTGGGTGGCGCATTTACGTTGTGGATGTGTATGGGCTCCAGTAACCGCTTAACACCAGGTGGGCTGTGAGGTCGTCCACCCATCTAAGCAATAAAAGAAAATCTTTATTTATCAAGAAAAACAGCTAGTCTGTGCTGGCGATTCACGTCGAATCCCTGATATTCTTCAGTTTATTCTTCATTCTTCTAGATTATCTGATAATTTACTTGAAAATGCTGTCTGGACTCTTCTTTAATGGTCTATAATGGTCGTACATTATATTTGACCCGGCTAAGTTATTATATAGAATTGGAAAATACAAACTTTTAGTATGACCGTGATTTGTTTACATTAAACATTATTTGTTACGTCTTCATGAAATGCTCAAGTGGTCTTAATCTGGGTTCTTTTTTTATTGTTTTTTTCATTTAACAATGAATGTTAATCTTGTAATCAATGTTAATGTTTCAATGATTCTACATTTTAATCTCGTTTTAATGTCGCATTCAATAATCGAGACGACCGAAGACTTCACTTGTAACTTCACTTGGCTTAGACCCGTGGTTTTCAGTATTTACCGAATTTCATGAAAATTTGAGAATAAAAAC